AGAATCTTGACATTAGAACAAGAGGAACCCCGTTATATGACATACTTAAACATCAATTCCTTAACCAAGGGAACTTGTACTAGCTTTACTTGACAACCTCATTTTTATGTATAGTGGAGTTTAGATTCCTGCTAGCCAAAACATCAAACCCATTGACATGGGATCTCGCTCCCATAAACCTAAGGATCTTGTTCCTTGTCTCGATCATCGTATAGACGCCGATCGTACTAGGGAGCTTCCACTATAGGGCAATTCGGAAATCTCGAACCGGTCCCACTCTCGATCCCGCTCCCATCTCCAACAACTATGGTTCTTCTTCTTCAATCCCCTCCAATTCTTAAATGAGTAGCGAACCATAAGTTACATCAATTTGGTACTAAAGCAAGTTCTATTTTAGAGCAAAGGCATTAGGGTACTTCAATCCCCTCAAATTCTTAAATGAGTAGCGAACCATAAGTTACATCAATTTGGTACTAAAGCAAGTTCAATTTTAGAGCAAAGGCATTAGGACCCCTCGAGTACGGGATTAAGGTTGATGAGGCCTATTGTGGATGCTTGGATGCCAATGAGTTCCTCAAGTGGTAGAGTGTGAACTCACTTCAGAAATGAATTTTAAAGGCTCTTCACTAATGAAAGAGACAATGTCAAGAAAATACATACATTCCAATTACCGGATGACCCTTTACTAGATAGTACTCATTTTGAGGTACGTCACGCGATTTGTGAAATAATACACGAAAGAATTTTTCACTTACTAGCTGTGCGTAATGGCCTCCAAGATGATAATGAGCAAGTGATGCCTTGACATGTAGCTAGTGTATGTTATCAAATCCAGGATCAAGCTTACCTTCAAAACTTGTTTAGTGTTGATACCTATCGACTTTCTCTGAAAGATGCACCTCCAATGTCCTACGACTAGAAAGGAGAATCCTGACCGAGGATCATCAAGTTCATCTGGAACGACTCAAGCAGCTTGACATGCTAAAGCTACCACACCATACGTAGTAGCACCCCCATCTAGGACCTGGTAGCAAGTGCCGAAATAGGACAAGGCATTCTAAGCCATAAGCGACAAAATGGCACCTTTAAATGCTTCAAATATGGAGAAGCTAGCAATCAATCAGACGAACGCCCTCATAGGTCCTACAACCCTCAAAATAACTAGGTGGATCACGTAGAAGATAAAGGAAATGTAGAGGATGAATATGACTTTGAGGATAGAGTCATGATACTGATCCAATCATCGTCAGAGATACCCGAGGGGATACAACTGTCATTGCAGGATTATGATGTCTCCTTAGTTACCTAGAGTTGATAGGTGGTAGTATTCATAATATTCTCCACACCGCTTGCACAACAGGAGGGAAGTTGTGCATAATTGTTATTGATAGTGACAATGAGAATTTGGTTTCTCAAGAAATGCTCGATAAGCTTTGCTTGAACACTGAGAAGTAAGAAAGGTCATGTAACATCATATGTTTCAAAGGATAGAAATGGGAATTGTAATTAGATCGTTGTGTCTATGTGAGCTTCTCGATAGGTCATACAACTCACAAAAATGTTTTGTGGTGTGATGTCACATATTACGGTGTCACATTTGCTTAGCCATCCCTAGCAATTCATTTGAAAGGCACACCATGTTGGTGAGAAGAACACCTGCTTCTTCAATAAGTATAATAAAAAACTCCTTCCACAAAAGAAAATGTCACAACCCAAAAGCGAGAGTAAAACATCCATTTCCACAAAAGGAGGTGAAGAAGGTGCTAATTACTTTTTAATAAAGTGCAATTCGAGGTGGTCGATGCCATGAGAAGGCAGTTGTTCCTCCGCCCAACATTGTCTCACACAGTCGGGGGTTTTGAGTCCGCTAAGGAATATCCAGTTCCCTAGAAGGAGATAAGGAAGGTGAATACACTTTTAGTGAAGCACAATTTCAGGTAGTGGATGCCATGAGACATCAATTTCAGACAATGGATGCCAAGGGTCTTTTTTGGACCCACTTGAACTTCACCCGACCTACGTTTGGTCAAGGTCCGGGTCTAGCTTGGACTTGTAGGTTCACATTGGTCAGCCAAAGACAACCCGACTAACCAGGCATACCTAAGTACAAGATATATAAAATTAAATATTAACTATATATTATAAAATATATACAAGAAATTTTTATATTTATTATTTCTAAACCCGACCCGACCTGATCCGGTGAGTTAGGTTTGGGTCCAATTGACCTGGACCCAGCAAGGTCCAAGTGCGGGTACGACTTAGACGTAGTTGGGTTAGGTCTAGGTAGGGATTAAACTAGACCCAACTTGACCCATTTATAGTCCTACTCCTTGGGAGGATGCCAATATGGGCTTCATGTTAGGTTTGCATAGAACCATTGGAAGTTATGGCTTTGTATTTGTAGTAGTGGACCATTTTTTAAAATACCATATTTCATTCCTTGTCAAAAGACATCTAATGTATCTTATTGTGCATTTTTAAAAAAAAAACGTCTATCTTCATGGAATACCAAAGTCAACGACATATGATCAAGATATTACATTCCTGCATCATTTTTGGAGAACCATGGTCAAAACTTTGTGCAACTCTACAATAGAAAAATCAAACTAATGGTAAACTGGGGTGGTCAACCATAATTTGAACAAATTTATTTAAGTGTCTCGCAAGCGAGAAAACGAGCTAGTGGCATTTGAGTCTTCTTAGGTAGAATTTGCTTATAATTAGCTCGGTTAATCAATCAACCAGGAAGTATCCTATGAAAAATAGTGTATCGACAATGCATTCCACATGTGGTAGACCATGTTCCATCACCTTATATAGGAAGGTGAAGTGCTAAAGTTGATGAATATGCCAAAATATCAAGGAAGTACAATAGGAAGTCCCTAACAAGTTAATAGCCAACTACACTAAGAATAAGGAGTCCGCAAATGAGCATCAAAGCGACCAATAATTTTTTGTATGGGACTCTATCATGGTATATCTGAGGAGTGATAGGCTCCCAATTACTCACATGAAGTTATATTAGCGAAGGTCTAGACCATATGGGATCTCAAGAAACTAGGTATGTTCCAACTCCTAGACCTTCTTGAATACCTTCATATCTCATCAATCATTAATAATGTTGATCTCTACAAATTTCAAGGAGATACCACCAGTACACTTGAATGCTGAGGAGACTGAGGAGTTACTGAGAAGTATTGAGGACGAGATAAAGGATGGGAGTTTAAACTCTTGATACACGTCATGGTTCATACATAAGGTAATTAGTTCATTGGAAGGATCACATATTGACTGATTGCTCGAGATACATGTCATGGTTCATACATAAGATAATTAGTTCGTTGGAAGGATCACATATTGACTGATTGCTCGAGAATTGATGATCATGAGTTACAAAGGGAGAGGGAGGACTTTTATCAACTTCGCATGGGACTTGATGGGGTTGAGTTCTTCCCCACATGAGGAAATTGATGAAATGCCTTCCCTTGGACTAGTTTAATTTTGTTTTAATTCACTCATTTGAAGGAAAACATGAGACTTATTAAGATGGGGTTAGGGTTTTACTTTTCTATTTTACGTGTGGAAGAGCGATACTGCGTTATTTGGCAGCTTAATATATCTTAGTTACATAAACGTATCTGTGTCTTTTAGAGCCATAGGGAATACAAGGGCAGTTTTAGTGCTTTAATTATTTTACTTTAATTACGGGTATTTAGGTCAATTTTGTTTAAGTCAAGTGGTATAAAAGAGGAGAGAGGGATGTCAAGCCCCTTGGTGCTTTATTTTTAAGAAACTTTGAGAATGAAACAAACCTAAGAAAGGGCTTCGTGAGTTCTTTCATAGAGAAGGCCTAGTAACACCTCCCAAGATCCCTCCCTTCCAAGGCAATTCTTCATTTTCTCTTCTCATGTTTCCCCTCTACTTTCCTTCTCTCCATTTTTACTTTCTTTAAATTCTCGTCTTGTACCTTCTTATTCCTTTCATCCATTCTCTCTCCCAAATTCTTTTTTTCATAAATTCTTTCACCATGTTCTTTAATCATCTCTTTTTCCTTCCTTATTCCCTTATCTTTCCCTAAATTCTTTTGTTTGTCCTCTTCTGCCCAACTTTTTCTTTTTTTCCTTTCTCGTTTTTTCCCTTATTATTTTCTTCTTCTTTTCCACTTTTCATCCTTCTTTTCTCATTGGAAGAATCCATCAAAAACCTAAAAACTAACTCACAAGTCCTTAGATTTAACCAAGACAAAACATTATGAGACCCTCAAACCTAATATCCTCTCTAAAGTCAAAACCTTAATTTCTATATTAACTTCAAAATCTTAGATTTCGTTGTTTCGGATTTAAAGTTATTCGACACCCTCATCTTCTCTCTAGGCTGCAGGGTAGCTTTAAATTTCAGGGGAATCAATCTCATTCAGCTGATTTAGTTTAAATTCAAATTTCAACCCATCACTGCATTGAAATCTCACCTCTCAGGAATTGAAAAAAATTCCTAATTGCAAGTTGATTTACTTAAGTATGTTTATATATTTTTGTGGATGATTACCTACAGATATTCTAGATATTCAACATTATTTGAATTTTGGGTGTTCTCCAAATGTGTGTTAGGGCCTTGTAATGGGAAGACTAGTATAGCAAGTGGCAGATCTTAGGTTACATCAATTCATCAAATTAAAACAATTAAGAATATTCAAATTGGGGTCAACCACTACAGCTTACTAATTTGGAACTCTTGGCTCACAATGCAAATGACAGATTCCAACCTGGGCTTACCAATAGAAAGAAAGATTCATTAATTTTATAATCCTAAATATTATGATAATCTAGTTCTCCATACTCTTAATCTTTTTTCTTTTAACTTTCCAAGCCCAGTATTCAAGTAAGGAAGTTAAATGCATTGTTGGATACCTAGAAACTGCAAGGGCACCTAGAAAATGACTAGAAGTGTCCAAGTAACATATGATCACCACCAAGTAACAATGCAAACTAAAAGGTTACCTTTTTATCATGCAATGTGTTGCCAGTCTTCACTTGTAAGCCACATTTAGATGTCTTCTGATTCTGATGAATGCTACAGGCAGCAATTTCTTTTCCACCAACACAAGCCCTCTGGGATTTGCTGACATTTGTAATTCTTTTGGGGTTCACTTCTCCTTTCCCATTCACAGAGTTTTCTTTTCCATCTACAAAAGCCCTCTGGGATTTGCCAATATTTGTGACCTTTTTGGGGTGCATTTCAACTTTTGTAATCCTTTTTGGAACCACTTCAACTTTATAATTCTGAGTTTCTGTTGTGGTAATTGTCCTCAAAGGCTTCCTAAAAGTAGTTGCCCGGTGACCATATGTAAGCCTTCCAGCAGAAACTGCACTTTGTCCCTGAAAAGTGGAAAATATAATCAAATTTTATCATTCTTTTGACTCATTGAAACTTCACCAGAAAATCACATCATTACCCAACAAATATTTTGTAAAAGATCTTAATATTTATAGTATCTTACCATTGAAATCGGTTCATGGTCACCCGTTTTAGCAGTTTTTACCTTCGAAATAGGTTCATGGTCATCCCTTTTAGCAGAGACAACCTTCCCTCTTTTGATAGTCGAACTTCCTTGTGGATGATGAGCATTAAAGTTCTTCCCTGTATTTAGAGTCTTATCGTTAGTATGCATATCTTTCATACATGCTTTCCTCACCATTTGAGAATTATCTTCCTTCAGCTTTGACCTGGCATTGCTGTGCCTAGCTCTTCTTTGGAGATCGAGTGAGGACCCAATACTGGACATGTTGGATGATTCCTTACTATCTTTCGATAACCTTGAAGGTTTAACCTCTACTCTCATTGCATGCCTTGTTGTGAAACTTTTCCTTAGGCTTAGTCTGACAGCCAACAAAAAACTACTGGATACCTCTGGAACTATTGGTTCCTGATGCATTTCAGTGGTAGTGCCTGATTGTGTCCTCGAAGAAAGGATACTTTGTGCATTTTCTGAACTATCGGACCTGAGCTTAGACTTAGATGAAGATGACGATGATGATGATTTTGTTTGTAAAGTGCTTGATCGTGTGCTTGAGTTAAGGGTACTTTCTGGGTTATCTAAACCATTAGACCCACACTTAGATGTAGACGAAGATGAGAATGTTATTCCTCGTAAAGTCCTGACACAAGAAGAGAGAAAATATCAGAAAAGAAAACCCAACTGAGACTTCAAGTTTACAAAAGGGTCTGGAATTTACTTGGTGGGTTGTTGATCCACTTCTCTCCATGAAGACAGTTGATGAACTTGAGAGATGAAATTCTTTCCCTCTGCACCTTTTCTTGACCGAAAATGCTTGCTCCTAGATGACACGGAGCCTGGGAGCTTGGGGGACATTATCACTGATTTGCGAAAATTGCCTTTGTTTTCATTGTAACGTGATGGACGTGCATGGACCCTGAAAATAAGGCATATCACACCACAAAGAACATACTTCAAATTAAGGCACATGGCATGCGAAAGAACAAGGACATCATCCAAGTTTCTCTCCTAGATAAACAATGAAATCACATGAAAACCATGACCAGTTTTTAAGACTGATAACTTATATCAATATTCTTGTAAGTTGAGAGAGAGAGAGCGAGAGAGAGAGAGAGAGAGAGAGGAGG